CTTCATGGTCATGATTTCTATTGTGTTTCCTTCATGAATTATTAATGAGTTTTTTAAATGACTTATCAAACGTCTAGGTTAGTTCCTTTCTTTGATAATAACAAAGGCAGCACTTTTTCCTCAGTTATATTAAGACCCTGAGTGCTGGTCTGGTCGTCAATGCTTGAACCCAAGAATTTAGGTAGATGAAATTTCACAACCTGCCTAATTTTATCAAGAAGATAATGTTATATAGTGCATTAGTGGATTTGAATAAATCCCTGATATCTCGTATATATATATATGACAGCAATGTGTATATATATATATACATACCTAACCAAAACATTTCTGCAACTTTACATATATATATATATATGTCTTTTGTTCCTCTAACGTTTCGTCTCTCGAGAACAAAACACACACATATATATATATATGAAGTTACAGAATTGCCTTTGGTTAGGTGTGTATATAATATATACACAGCCATTTGCAAAAATTATGGCCGCTTCCAAAATATATAAAAGTATATCCAATTCCGCATTTACGATGCGAAGACCTCCGTCGTGACCTCGGGTCGGTTGCCGAAGGAAATCCGTTGAACTGGTGTGCTACAATGAGCTCCAAGTACGGGTCAGAACAAGCGAGGTAGTATGTGAATACAGGCAAATTTCATGGCTTAAAGACGCGAAGATTAATCTCTAATGCGACTTTCTCGGTTCTATAGGGATGTGAGAGAAGGGTTATGGCTAAAATTTGGCGCTGGAAAGGAAATTCGAAGACGTACGAGGTTTCAAAGACTCTTCATGGCTCGCTTTTGGATCCCGAGCCTCCAACCTTCTCTTCTTTCTTACTGGTTGGGAAAAAAATCTTAAAACGGGCTAAATTCGAAAAATAACCACACAGTGCGAAAAAAGTGCTATTTCTCAATGATCGAGTAAAATTTCGAGGCTTTATTTCACGTTTCAAGGATTTTATTCATATTTTTGATGAATCCCCATACATTTTCTTATAACATGACACCACCAAGCTTGGGCTACCTGTGAGCTAAGTACCAAAGCGTTGGCTG